GATGCGTATCTTGTGGCGATAAGCGAGGTTGCACCAGTTTTTCCATGCAACCCGCACCTGGCGCTTCTGAATATATTTCTCTAAGGTTGTGTGGGTGAGAACTGGGTGCACGGTTTGAGATAAGTGGAACTCACGGATGGCCTGCTGCATCATAGCAGTAAATATGCTGCGCTTCCTATCACGCTCGTTCTCCTTCTCCTCCTCCTTCCCTCGTTCATTCGCACCTTCGTCGCCTTCATCATGCTCTTCGTCGTCCTCATCGCCTTGTTCCTGGTCTCGCTCTTTGCGCTTTCGACCGAACCTATATCTGCCAATGGAGGGCAGGATATAGCCCTCCTCGGCAAGTTCAGTCACCCTGCAACAGGCCCATCAGTGGTGCGATGAAATCAGTAGTAGTCACATACCGTATACATGCACTGAAGTTGTCGAGCATCTGCCGCACGTCAACTTGATTGAGCTCTATCAACGTTTTGATAGTGTCCGAACCGCCGAAAATGACAGACAGTTGTTTTGCTGCAGCGTCGGTCCCCTTGTAGACGATCGCGCCGAAGACCTCCATGTCTTCGAGATTGTGATAGGAGGCCGCCAGCATCGTGAATTGGGCACGGGCAGCCATCATCCTTGCGTTCGCTGACTTCACGCGTGTTTTGAGTGCGGGATTCCTGTCCAGGGCGTCACAGAAATCGAGGATGGGCTTGAATGCCAGATTGCGCGCTTCTTCGTCATCGTCGGGGAGCTGGGCCACGAACTCGTTGTAGGCTTCCAAAGCCTTCTGATTCCAATCCTCCTTGGTCACTAGAATGCTGTCAGTGAACACATATATTGACAACTGCACGGTACATACTGCTATGAGGCCTTTCGTGGTTGTGGACGAACCAACGCTGGAATTTGTTGAAAGGATTCGCCGCACGCGATGCTTTAACGCCAAGCCCGGCGTACAGCAGCACATCGCGAGGATGCTTTCCATACTTCCGAGCAATGCGCTCGGCCTCCACGGTCGTGACGCGTCCAAGCTCGGCCGCCTCCTCCTTGGCAGCCTGTGAGAAAGGGCCTCGCATCTTTGACCACCCTTGGTCGGTGTTCGTGTTGTCTTCAGTGACAGGTCGCGCCTTTCCCTTCTCAGCAGCAGTAAGTCGAGGTGGGCTCTTGGGGACCTCACACACGAACTCCTCATCGAGTTCACGATCTTCTTCCTCGTCGTCCATCTCGTTGTTCGTGTCTCTTCTCGCACGGCTGCCCCGGCTGCCTAGCTTCTCCTTGCCTGCATCGCTGAATTTGCTGCCAGACATGTCGGACTCGAGAATATCTGACAGAGTGTCAGTACTAAGTTGTTGAAGCATGGAAGAAAAAACACGAACTGTCAGCTTCTTGTGGTGAGCTCATCTCGTGCTGGGCTCTGCCATC